GTTTACACTCTACAAGGATTCTAACTCACCACTGCATATTCTTCTCCCTCATCCCCATTTCATATCGCCTCTGAAAAGATTCCCTGTGTGTGCAGAGCATGAAATCCATCAATACCTGTGTTTGCCGCCAATGTGATACCTTTCAGCAATTCTGGGGTCCTGAAGACCTTTAACTTTTTCCAAATTTACAGTTAAATTTGAGAATTAAAATGCTTTATTTTCAGTAATCAAGTGTTTGTCATAAAAATTTAAAAAATTAAAAAAAAAAAAAGGGCCTGGCTCCCACCTGTAATCCCAAGTACTCTATACTCAGGAGGCTGAGGCTGGAGGATCACTTAAGCCCGGGGCAGGCAGAGGCTGCAGTGAGCTGAGATCAAGCTACTGTACTCTTACCTAGACAAGAGTGTGAGACCCTCTCTCAGAAAAACAACAACAAAAACAGTATCACTTAAAAACAGTGGCCAATCTTCTCAACCATCCCCTGAACCAAGGACTTGCCACAAAACCATCTACAAAAAGTAAAGTTCTTGGGAATCTGAAATAAAGTATTCTGATTTGGCATCTATCCTGGAATTTCCGAACAAAATGTTTCAGGTGTCACAAACATTCAGGTAACTTTCAGCCTTTAATAAGACGCTACATTTACTGCATAACCCCCTCACCCACTTTGAATTCTTTCTTCATTCTCATTTCCCCAAATACATATAAAGGATTATCAAGGCTTTCTTTAAGGTAATTTCAGTGACAATCCAGAAGTGAGAAAGATGGCTCAGATACCACTCAATCTCACCAGGATTCTCTCAAGTCTAATGTGACCATGCAACAAAAAAAGCAGCCATCTTTCTAACGGGATCTTTGTGGCTGGTTAAATTACCTACAGATTATACTCAAATTACAGAATATTTATTTTAAAATATAAGAAAATCTACTGTCAGTTCCTAGGCCAAATATAAGAAATGTCACTCCAAATTAAAAATTTATGTTAAAGATAAAAAGCTTTGGAGCCAGGCATTGCGACTTTGGGAGGCCAAGGAGGGTGGATCATGAGGTCAGGAGTTTGAGACCATCCTGGCCAACATTGTGAAACAGTCTCTACTAAAAATTTAAAAATTAGCTAGGCGTAGTGGCACTCTCCTGTAGTCCCAGCTACTCGGGAGGCTGAGGCAGGAGAATCGCTTTAATCCAGGAGGCCGAGGTTGCAGTGAGCCAAGATCACACCACTGCACTCTACCTGGGCAACAGAGAGAGACTCGGTCTCAAAAAAAAAAAAAAAAAAAAAAAAAGATTAAAAGCTTTATCTTCAATTAAAATCAAAGAGGCATCCTCTAGTAAAACAATTTCTTTATCCAGAGTTAAGTGGTATAGTCAAAGTCATTCTTTTAACCTAAACAGTGCTAAACAGTGTTCCAAATAATATTCAAAACAAGAGGGCCAGGCGCCGTGGCTCACGCCTGTAATCCCAGCACTTTGGGAGGCCCAGGCAGGTGGATCACAAGGTCAAGATATCGAGACCATCCTGGTCAACATGGTGAAACCCCGTCTCTACTAAAAATACAAAAATTAGCTGGGCATGGTGACGCGTGCCTGTAATCCCCAGCTACTCAGGAGGCTGAGGCAGAAGAACTGCCTGAACCCAGGAGGCGGAGGTTGCGGTGAGCCGAGATTGCACCATTGCACTCCAGCCTGGGTAACAAGAGCGAAACTCTGTCTCAAGAAAAAAAAAAAAAAACCCTCAAAACAAGAGTCAACTCAAAACTGCCATTTATTTTAAAATTAGGAGTTCACAATACCACTTCCCAAGTTTTAGAAGGCTTTCTATGTGAGAAAACAGGTCATGGAAATGAAGTTTCACTATTTATAAATACTGCACTAGATTTAGAAGATCCCGGGTTTTCCAAAAGCCTTAGGTTTCACCTTGTGTGTGACTTTATGGCAATTCAGGACAATATTAAAACAAGTGTAAGACATTTAACTTATCATTCCCACAAACACAAAATGCATATCCTTCAAATATAACCAGCACTTAACTATCTAAAGAATGACATTAAAAGTTTTCGAATTCATTAACAGCTTCCTAACTAGTTTGTCCTATGCAAATGACTCAAACTTTCAGGCAGGCCCCAGGAAGTAGCACACAAGAAACTATTTAAGATTCAGTCTAATTCCCAGTAGTAAATCACAGGAAATACTTTGTTCCAAAGCAACTTCTCCTCGGTCCTAAAACAGGTAAGTTTTGGTTGATTTGCATTTAAAAACTGGATTTAAGTTAAAAGTCATAATAAAATTTCTCTTTTATGAATCTTAGAACAGGAATCTTTCAGATCTGAGAGTGAAACTTAGTTTTAACAAGTAACTCGTTTTTATGAAACTCTAACCAGAAGACTAGTTATGAGTTAGAACAGCTCAGGTTGTTTCTTTTCTTCTTAAAATACTCTTTTACTCAAACTGAAAAAGCACTTGCTGTAATCCGACTTAAATCAACCGACAGTACACCTGAAACATTTACTCATTTGAGAAAGGCAGCCTGATCCAGAGCAAAGCCCCATTAGGCTCCCACTGGGAGCTGCCCGCCGGCCTCCAATTCCAGACAGTTAGTCCTTAACAGGTCTCCTAGCTCTGGCAATTTAAAACAACAAAAATAAAAAAAATAAAATAAATAAAATAAATTATTCTCCCATTTAAAAAAAAATAAAAAAAAAGAACAAGAACCTGGTAAAATGGTTGCAAAGATGATTTAACATCAGAATCTATTTTTTAAAAACCTAAATCTTAAAAAGTATAAGTTATATTCCTAGTTTAAGATTAACACACTCTGACAATGCCATTTGAGACGCAAAACTAAAAATATCCCAAACACTGCCTTTATCTTTAAAGAAAGGCACTCCAGCAAGTTGAAGTAGGTTGTATCCATTTCCAAAGAGTAAAGAATGGTGTAAGTATACACTGTACTTTGAATGTAAAAAAAAAAGGGGGGGGGGAGGGGGCGGGATTTTATTTAACGGCTAATACTCTGTAACAGCTGAATAGATTTGATAGATGAGCAAGTAAGTCAAGTACTTAAATTCAAATGTTAAGTAAAACAAGACTTGGCAGACAATTTCGATTTTGTGACTTAGAAGAATATATGCCGAGCTTAAAGGTAAGAAGACACTTTACGTTTTCCAAACACTTGGTAAAATTGCATGTAATGCCTGGTAATGAAGCGATAAGTGATACCTTTACTCTGAAACACACTTTGGAAAAAATAAAATGTATCTTGAACTCCTCCAGTAACTTCAATATGGTGTGAGTAACTTAACCTTTTTGACACGCATTAACCACAGGGATGACACTGTATGTAAAATAACCTCGGTTTAACAACTGCGCAGCAAACACCAATCTTTATTATACTATACAGTCGACATGAGAGGCGAGGAAACTTTGTTTAAAAAGGTGTTTAGCTCGGCCGGGCGCAGTGGCTCACGCCTGTTATCCCCAGCACTTTGGGAAGCCGAGGTGGGTGGATAACGAAGTCAAGAGATCGAGACCATCCTGGTCAACATGGTGAAACGCCGTCTCTACCAAAAATAAAAAAATTAGCTGGGCGTGGTGGTTCGTGCCTGTAATCCCGGCTACTCGGAAGGCTGAGGCAGAGAATCGCTTGAACCAGAGAGTCGGAGGTTGCAGTGAGCCAAGATCGCGCCACTGCACTCCAGCCTGGCAACAGAACGAGACTCCGTCTCAAAAAAACAGTGTTTACTCAACTAGTCAACCTTTACAGCAATTCTACCACCGGTGACAGTGAGAAACTGTCAGCTTGGGGAGGCCGCGCGGCGACTGGACCTCGCCCCCGGGAAGCCTCCCCGGACCTGGCCGAGGCCCTCGGAGTCGGGAAGTGCCTACCCCAACGCTGAAGTGTCTCCTGGCCACCTTCTGAAAGGCAAAAATCCTTTCAGGCTTCGCTCCCTCAACGCGCACCGCCACTCCGACTCCGTCAAAACACTGGTCGCAAATCCTCCCGCCTGGGCCCCCGCGCCCCCATCTGGACCTCCACGCTCAAGAATAGGGTAGCAAGGCAAGAAAAGACGCACACATCCCAGCCACTGGCACCCCAGGGCAGCCTCTGTGTTTCTAGCTAAAAGCCTAGTACCAGGGGCAAGACCGGATTCGGGCGCTCCCCCACTGGGGAAGCGCGGGCCCCACGGCGCCCGGCCCGGACGCGCTGGCCCTTTAAAGGCGCTAGCTTCCTGCGCCCAGAGCCCCTCCCTTGTCACCGCCCGCGCCCGCCCCCGCCGAGGGTCACACTTGAACTTTAGCTCGCCCCGCGCGGCCGGGCGCCGGCGCTCCGCAGGCGGTGGCCGCCCCTTCGCACGTGTCGGAGGCGCCACCTCGGGATCGGGACGCCCGGCCCCCTGAACTCGAGGCCACTCCGGAGAAAACCAAAACAAAGCAAAATGCGCACCGCCTTCAGAAACTGCCTGGCCGGCCTTACACCGTCCCCAGCCGGTCGCGCTCGGCCTGTCCCCTCCACCTGCAGCCCGGTCCCGGGACAGAGAGACTCCGGGGACCCTTGCTGCGCCCTCCCCCGCCGCGCGCGGCGGAAACAGCTCCGCGGCGCGGCCGGAGAGGACCCGCCCTCGCCCCGCGGAGGTCCAGGAGGGAAGGGGCAGCCGAAGCAGTCAGCGCGGGCCGTGGGGGTGCCGCTCCCGGCGAACCCCTTTCTCCTTTCACCGGCAAACTTTTCGGCCGCTCTGACGTCCACTTCTTGACGCATTCTTTACTTAGTTCCCCAAAGAGCCCCTTTCCGCGTCCCACGCGGACTCTAACTGGCGTGCGCGCACACCTACTGCGGTCTCGGACCGACCCGGGCGAGCCCACCGCGACCACCGATTCTCGCCCGCCCTCCTGGGCACGCACTGCCCTCCTGCCCCGCACCCTCGGGCAGGGCAAACCTGCACAGCTGCGCCCTCGCCTGCCCCACCGCGCCCCCAAGGTCCGGGCCGCGCGCAGAGGCCGCTCACCTTCCAACCCGCGGAGCTGTTGCTGTCACCTTTATCCTTGAAGTAGGGCACGCTCTTGACCATCCACTCGTAGATCTGCGACAGCGTCAGCCGCTTCTCCGCCGAACTCTCGATGGCCTTGGTGATGAGATCGGCGTAGGACAGGTTGCCCCACGCGTTGCGGCGGGACGAGCTGCTCTTGCGCGGCTGTCCCGCGAGCGGCCCGGCGGCGGCGGGGGGCACCGGTGGGTGCTGCGGCAGCGGCCCGGGCGGCGGGGGCTGCGGCGGCGCTGGGTGCAGGCAGCCCGCCTCTGGGCCCTGGAAGTCCCCGCACAGTCCCCCGGCGGCGGCTACGGCAGCCGCCGCCACCGCCGCCGCCACGGAGCCGGGCGCCTGCGGGAAGTCCTCGTTCTCCTCCAGCAGGCTCAGGTTGCTCATGAAGTCAGCGCTGACAGCGGCCGCCGAGGCTGAGGGCAGGCCCGCCGCGGCGTCGGGGTTGGCAGCCGCGCCGCCCGACGGCGCCGGGCTGGAGGTGGCCGAATTGGACTGGCTAAACTCCGGCCTGGGCAGCGGCCAGGTGCACGAGCGCGGCCGGGGCAGCGGCTCGAAGTCCGGGTCGATCTCCACCACCTGGGGCGCTTCGGCCATGGTGACCCCCGCCCCTCCCCCAGCCGCGGGAGAGCCAAGAAGGGAAGAGCGCAGCACTGGGGGCGGAGGGAGAGGGGGCGCGAAGAGACGGTCCGAGATTTGGGGGGACGAAGCCGGTGCGGCGAGCGGACGGAAACTGGGAGGAAGGCGCGGCGGAGTGCAAGCGCGAGCCCAGAACTTAACTTCGCGGGGCCATCCACATCGAGGCTCCTCGGGGTCCGCCTCACGGACTGGACGGCGGGCCAGAGCCGCCGAGCCGGGGCAGAGCCTGCGCCGCGCTCCCGCTGACACGGCCGCGGACGGAAGGACGGACGGACGCCGCGGGCCGCTCGCTTTGCCCGGCGGCGCGCCCGCTGCGCTGCTGCCTGTTGAATGTGGCGGCGGCGGCGGCGGCGGCTGCAGCAACTACGAGGCCGCCCGACTTACGGGATCTGCCGCCGCCCCCCGCCCGCGGCGGCGCGCGCGCCGGCCCGCCCCTGACCGACAGCTCACGCAGCCAATGGGCACGCGGCGCCGCCGCCCGGGCAGCCAGTGGGCTCCGGGCTGGGCGGGGCCCGATTTTCCACCGGGAGGCGGCAGCGGGCTGGTGGGGGTAGTGGGGTGTTTTTCTCTTTCACACACCTTTTTTATTTTTTTGGATCTCTATTATTTTCTGGTAATTCTCGAGTGTTTCTGTGATTATCTCGCCTTCTCAGTGTTTTAATTGCTAGGAAGCAAACCAGCGTGGAGGTGGCGGCGACACTTTGTTTACTACGGAGCTGCAGAGCCGAGTCCTCGGGAAGCCCGGGTGGGACACGGCGCTCGCTACGCCCTGACCTCGGCTGCGGGCCGAGTCCGGCGAGCGGGCAGGGCCCGGGGCCGGGGGCGCGGGGGCGCGGGGTGGACGGGCGGAGGCGGCCGCGCGGAATTCTACTCAATAGCTCCCTCCTGACTCCACCCACGATGTCTTTGCTGAGCAACGTGGGGAATCGATGGGTTTTGTTTTGGTTTAATGTTTTCTTTCGCTGCGATCTGTCAAGTCCTTCGGTCCCCGCACGGGCGGCACACGCCCCCCGCCCCAGGCGCCGCGGCCCCCTGCGGTCGAGTCCGCGCCTAGGGTGCCTTCTCCGCGCCCCGCGCCCACCTGTCCGCACCCCCCGGGCTCAGCCTGTGCCTTTCTGTCGCCCAGCCGAGCAGACCGCAGCCGGATTCACTATATTCTTGACCTTTTTTAAAGGCCTAATCGTGAGGAACTGGGACTCCGGCGCGGGGAGGAGGTACTCCCATCTCAATGCACACACGGATCCAAAGACTCCCGCAACTGCCTGCCCTCCGTGGGAACTTCTTCCCCTGGGCGGGAACTTCCAGCTCCATCCACTGAGTTCAGGGCCCGCAGCGAAGGGCTTAGGAACGCAGTTAGCGAGAACCAAGTCACTTTACTACCTACCCGTAATTAAATTTAACTGTTTGTTATTTTTTATTTACAACGGAAGTGATCGTGTGTTAAGTAAAAACGGCAGGGGAGTGGGGGGATAGGACCAAAGCCTTGGGGCGCAGCCTGCCCCACCCCCAAGTTCTTGAGGCTACTTGCTGTGTGCGTCAGTCAACCCCCCACCCACACCCCACCTTTCCTCATCTGGGCTGCAGGTCCAGGACATCCTGTCAAGGATCAGTGGGGCCAAAGGTAGGAAGATAATGGCCTTTGTGTCTCAGGGAACAGAAGAAACAGTTTTCCAGTTTTGTTCTGTTATGCTTTCGCTTTTTTAGGAAGAATATGGAAGGCATTTCCTTTTAGAGGGATGGGACTACTTAGGATGGAAGATGGGCAGTAGGTTTTTAATATCTTTTCCAAAAGGACAGCTTCCAACTCTTTAAAAAAAAAAAAAAAAATCCCATTTCTTTCTTACTAGTAATTCTGCAATAGAAGAAGTAGCATCTAGGCAGAGCGCGGTGGCTCACGTCTATAATCCCAACACTTTGGGAGGCCGAGGCGGGTGGATCACGAAGTCAAAAGATCGAGACCATCCTGGTCAACATGGTGAAACCCCGTCTCTACTAAAAATACAAAAATTAGCTGGGCATGGTGGCGCGGGCCTGTAGTCCCAGCTACTCAGGAGGCTGAGGCAGGAGAATTGCCTGAACCCAGGAGGCGGAGGTTGCGGTGAGCCGAGATCGCGCCATTGCACTGCAGCCTGGGTAACAAGAGCGAAACTCTGTCTCCAAAAAAAAAAAAAAAAAAAAAAAAAAAAAAAAAAAAAAAAGGAAAGAAAAAGAAAAAGTAGCGTCTAGAGAAAATTAGTCTGTTGGACAAGAGAATTTTGAAAAAAAAAAAGAAAGAAAAGAGGAGAAAATGGAAAAATTAGGCCTTTTAACTTTTTACAAAAGTTAAAAAGATTTAGAGAGATCTGTTTTTTCTTTTATATTCTTACTATCCTCTCTCTAGTCCAGGCCCCTTTTTCTTCATAATCCATTTATCACAACAGCTTCTTACTGATACTAGGAATGGGTGGGGTGGGGATCCTGAGCCGGATGGATTGGGGACGGGCGGAGACTGGTTTCCACCCTTGCCTAGTGGTCTCCACGTTTACTGTCAAATTTGGACGGTCTGGGCCTCTTCTGCCAGCCGCTAGGGGACCTCAGTAACCCAGATGATGAGCTCCAAGGCAGGCCCCAAAGTACAGCTATTGCCTCCCCCAACCTTTCCAATTACAGTCCGCAGAAGCAGCCCCCGATCCAGACAGCCGCACCCTAAAAATAGGCGGTGCCCTAGTGGATCATTCTTGGCAAAGGAAGCCAGCTTCAAATTTGGCCTTGCCTTCATTTCTATTCCGGTTTTTCAGGGCGTCAATCAGAGAAGAATATTTATTTGGTTAAGGGAGTCTTCCTACAGACTTTCCCCAAATCCTTGAAATCTTTTTTTTTTGAGACGGAGTTTCGCTCTTGTTACCCAGGCTGGAGTGCAAGGGCGCGATCTCAGCTCACCGCAACCTCTGCCCCCTGGGTTCAGGCAATTCTCCTGCCTCAGCCTCCTTCCTTGAAATCTTTGGGGCTCTCCCGCTCAATTGTTTCTTCAAATGTTATAGTTTGGTTTTATTTGGTCTTTAAAAAAAAAAAAAAAAATTGAAGAGGCAGGCACAGAGAACGTATAGCACCAATGTCCCTGACATATAGGTCCAAAAAATATATATTGAAGGGTTTTTTACCACACTGTTGTATCTAAATATCAATTTCCTGAACCCCAGGATGTTGGTGAATATGTGACTTGTTTCCAGTCTTGAGCTATCACAGACTATTCTATAAGAAATAACCTTGCATAACTTCATTTCACATCTCTAAAAGTTTATCTACAGGAGGAATTTCCAGATATGGGAGTCACTGGGTCAGCAGGTATACCCATGCATGATTTTGAAAGGCACAGCCAAATTGCCCTTCACCAGGGTTATATCAAGCTAAGTCTTCTTTTCCATTAGACCCACAGAATGTTAAACTTGAAAGTAAACTTGGAGATCACCTTGGTGACCCCCTTTAACTTAGAAAAAGAGAGGTACAAAGAGGCTGATTTGCCCAAGCTCACATTAAGAGTGGTGATGCCAGGGCTGCAGCTCTAATTTCTCACTTTCCCATCAGTAACCTCAACACACAGATGGAAAATTATAAATATCCTGTAATCCCACTATAGCTATAACCATTATAACTTTGTAGTGTATTTCCTTCCAGTCAACCCGCAGATCTTAGTAATAATAGATGAACTCCACTGAACCGAATAAAGATTTGATGTAGAAGACCAAGTAGGCCGATCGCAGTGGCTCATGCCTGTAATCCCAGCACCTTGGGACGCTGAGGTGCGCAGATCATCTGAGGTCAGGAGTTCCAGATCAGCCTGGCCAACATGGTGTAACCCTGTCTCTACTAAAAATACAAAAACTAGCCTGGCATGGTGGTGAGTGCGTGTAATCCCAGCTACTTGGGTGGCTGAGGCAGGAGAACTACTTGAACCCCGGAGGCAGAGGTTTCACTGAGCCAAGATCTCACCGCTGCTCCAGCCTGGACCACAGAGCAAGATTCTGTCTGAAAAAAATTAAAAAATTAAAGATAAAAAAAAACAGACATAAAGCAATGATAGTGATAATAAGATAAAGACTAGATTACAAGATAAGTGGTTTTTGTTTTTGTTTTTGTTTTTTTGTCAAAAATGTAAACAGTGCTCTCTCTGAAGGGTGACAAAGTATTTAGGTCATCCCTGGTTCTGCTTAAGAGAAAAAGTTATTTTCTCCTTCGTTGTGTTTTGTGGTTGCAGCTTGCTTTGAAGGCTTTTTCTGCTGATTATCACTTAGTTGCTGCATGTGGCTGAACTGGAAAGAAAATGGGGAAGAAAAATGTCTCATGTCAGGTAAGGACAATTAAAATGAAAAAGGAAATTTATCCTTACAAAACTCTGTGATGTTCTTTTCTGTGCCTGGTTTTCAGGGTAACTATTGCCTCATCCTTAACAGGAAGACTGAGGGAAGGTTCCCTTTGATCAACTCCCAGGCAGAAACTTCTACATTTACCCCTAACCAACACATGATGGATCTCTGGTTTAAATTTTTACTTGTCTAAATAGATCATTTAAGTTGCATTTAATGAGCAAGTGAAAAACTTGGATGCTGATTTTTCAGTCAGGGCACTTTACTTCATATTTCACATTCCCTTTCCCCAAAATTTTCCCATTCCAAAATTTTGTCTGAATTATTAGCAGGTACTGCTATCATCCTGAAAGCCTTTCTTCACTTGGCCCACAGACAGTAATAATCTGGGCCAGGCGTGGTGGCTCATGCCTATAATCCAAGCACTTTCGGAGGCCAAGGCAGGTGGATCACTTGAGGTTAGGAGTTCAAAACCAGCCTGACCAACAAGGGGAAACCCTGTCTCTACTAAAAATAAAAAAATTAGCTGGGCATGGTGGGGCATACTTGTAATCCCAGCTACTCGGGAGGCTGAGGCAGAAGAACTGCTTGAACCCAGGAGGTGGAGGTTGCAGTGAGCCGAGATCACACCACTCCACTCCAACCTGGGTGATGGAATGAGACTCCATCTCAAAAAAAAAAACTAATAACCTGAAAAAAATATGTAGCTTTGGGTCTTCTTTAAACTAATGTCCTGAAAGCTAGCATAACAACTGGTAGCTGTAGTAAGATTAGAAGTAATCATTCGTTTCTCTCAAGAAATAATTTTCTTTGGATTTTGTCACTAATTCCACAAATATCTACAGAACACCTCCTACATATATGCCACGTGCTGTGCCTCTTAAAATCCATTGTTCTGATGGTAAATTCCTTGGGCTCAAAAATGGGTATTTCCCTGGGATATTTTCCCTGATATGATATTTGCTGTCAGAGTTCAAAATGCTGTTCTTTTCTAATCAGCAATGCATAGTGACAATATTTATTTGGAGGAATTACACAAAAATGT